CTTATGAAATAATTTATTTGAAGATGGATTTTTACAAGTTTGGGCAGTATTTTTAAACGTGTGTTTACTTGCAAGACTTTTTACTTATTTAAGATTTTAATAGTTGCAGTGATAAACTTTAGACTTGTTCATATCTTCGCTTGTCAAATAATTTATTTATTCAAAATTTTGAAACAATTATCAAGGATTATTAAGAGTTTACATATTATGTTAAATACTATGAAGTACTATTTAACTACTTCATAGTAGAAATAATACTTATGAAAAATCTAAACAATATTAGTAACAATTTTTACACCTGTTCAAATTTCTACTTATCAATTATTTATTAATAATTTTAACAGCATTACCCATCATCTTAAAACGTTTGTAAATCTTTACTTGTAAAATAATATATTTATTCAGAATTTTAACTAAATCTATAATGTTAAATATAATGAAACAGTAGTGATTATTAATGATAACTACAAACTCATCGAATTTTTCAATTGATTGTGAGGTTATGTATGTGTCGCAGCCTCAGCAATATTAACCTCTTAGGGACGACGCGCCACTATAATGGCTTTCGCGAATGTCATCGTACGTCATAATACAAATAACAGTTACACATAATTTATTTATATGAAGCTTCGTGAAGGTCGGCCAGAGGTGACACGAAAGGAACACGAAACATCACACGAAATCAAAAGAGACATCAAACTCTTAAAAATTAAAATGTCTGATCTCGAAATTTTCTGGAAAACCGAAGCTATCACAAAATCCAGAAAACCCTCTACTCAAACAAACCCATTACAGAAACAAATGATCAAGTCTTGCAAAGCAAACTTTATCAACGTATCTCCGCAAAGAGTGATCCAAACAATGAAAATCTAAAACTTGACTTTCAAGATCAAAAGCCGAGACAAACGTTAACCCCATAGGCACTATAGTGGCTTTCGCGGATAGCACCTCTGTAGGACCACTATACCTTGCAAAGCAAACTTTATCAACGTATCTCCCCAAAGAGTGATCCAAACAATGAAAATCCAAAACTTGACTTTCAAGATCAAAGGCCGAGGGATAGCACCTCTGTAGGACCACTATAGTGGCTTTCGCGGATAGCACTTCTGTAGGACCACTATAGTGGCTTTCGCGAATGTCGTAGATTACATAGCGCCATAGCGTCTCACTCTACTGGCTCAGTCACCGTTTCAGTTGAATCTTCATGTTTTGATTGGCATTTTTTTACCTTCCCACGTTTTATAAGAGTAAATTCTACAAAAGTACACTACAATGAAATAAAAGGTAACGCCATGTTTAGGCACCATGGGAGGTCTTAGCACTAGTACACGGTATTGGAAACATTTGGAAATTACATATTTTGTGAATTTTCGAAAAAAGTAAATTGTCAAAGTTAATGTACATGTATACCTTTGTGGAAAAATTATAATTTATTCATCAAAAACTTCGTTACAGTGTACTCGTACAGTACCTGCAATCATATTAAAGATTCAAATAAGATTTATCATATTTGCGTCATGAGTTCGTCGCGAGTTAAACACACGAAAGTACGCGAAGGGGTTAAAGATTCATCGTGCTCACTGAATTTTTCCACGAAATCCATCTTGATCGAACGATAAGCCAGATGGTACCTCGAGTTACCCTCCCCGTCTTCCGGTGAATATTTCATCCCGAAGGATTCGTATTTTTCTTCGGGTGATTGTCATTCGACGAGGTCCAGAAGCGGCAGGCTGCAGCAAAATCAATTATTCATCCGAATTGGTCGGGAAAAAAGTCCTAATTATCCGGGGCAAATACAAGCTTAATACGCGAACAGAAATATACCACCACCCCTTTTTACCACCCCCTTATCCCTCGCAGCCCTCCATCGGTACTCGGCAGCCAGTCGGTCTTCAAGGCTTCCTTCTTACCGTGAATAACCATTTGTATTTCCAATTAGCTTTGCTAATAAGAAGACGGAGGCATTGCCGTAGTTAAAAAAATGTATAACCTCATCCAGCCACTGGGGAAATAAAGAAAAGCGCCGCTCCCGGTATGACAATACACCGGGTCGGGCCGGGTCGGGGGCNNGGGCGGGTCGGGGGGTTATAACCGGCTGAACTACAATTAAAAATCCTCGCTTCACCCTCGCTTAACCCTGCTTCCTCCTTATGCCGTATTAACGACTGGGACGTGCAGGGAGGGGACACGAAACATTCTACCAAACATCGAGGCTTTTTTTGCCAATTTTATGCTTGACCCCATCTCCCACCCCATCCTTGCTCTTCTTCCGCTGCCTCTTCTGACTGACTGTCTGCCTGTCTGTCTGACTGTCCCTCCTCCCTATTCTCTCTTTATTTCGCATCTGGTTGATACTTTCTTTGTATCCTTTATGGGATTATCGCTTCGTTTCGAATTGTTATTGTTAGGTGGAGCTGCCGGTAATTATGGACAGATCGATGGGGAAATTAGGTAAATTATGACGTGGATTTTCAAGTTGCTGTCGTTAGGTAGTAGACATTTTTGTTAAGATGCATTTTTAATTTGGTATTGTTGGGAAGGATGGATATTTTTGTTTGGTGTGCGGAATTTTTATTTGGGAAGTTTAGGAGATGTTGGTTAAATGTGTTAGTTTCGGTATAGGGGTGTCTGTAGGTTTTGAAGTTTGAATTTGGAAATTTGGGGATTTGGATATATTGAATTTTTGGAATTTAGATATTTATATAAGGGGAATTGTATAATTTTATAAATGTATTTTATAATTACTTTGGAATTATTTTAGAATTATTTTAAAATTATTTTAGAATTATTTTAGAATTATTTTTAGAATTATTTTAGAGCCCCACAAGTTTAGAGTGATTCTTTTGGAAATTTAGAAACTTCCAAGTGCAGAAATTTAGAAGTGTAGGAATTTGTAAATTCAAAAATTTCAAGATTTAGAAAATTTAAGAATTTAAGTGCGTGAAAATTTAGAAATAAAAAAACTAAAGAATTAGACAATTTAAAAATATAAAAATTTGTAATTTGAAAGTGGAAAAATTTAAAGTTTAAAAAATGTAGGAATTTAGAAATTTAAATACTTGAAATTCGAAAATTTAGAAATATAAAAATTTGAAATTTTGAGAATTTAAAAATTAATGACCATAAAAATTTTGGGGACAGAAATTCAGAAATTTGGGATTTAAGAAAAATTAAGTTAAAATTGGAAATTTACAAATTGAAGAATGTGGAGATTTTTAAATTTGAAAACTCGAGATTTAAAAATTTTAAGAACTTTACAGAGTTGTTAAAATTATATTCAACTAATTATTTAAACTAGTGACATATTTTTTCCACCAAAATTAGAAATTATTTAAATTACCATCTTATGTGAAATTAGTTTATATAAATTCAACCGAAATTAATTTACATAAATTGAACCAAACAAAATTAATTCAAATTAATTAAAAATTATGAAAATTAATATTAAAAATTAATTGATTTCTTGTACTTTTGAATTTGATTTCCGCGTACGGGAAATTCAAATACAGTGGAAATAGAGACCTCTATATTCCATCGATAGTCTTCTGGAATGAATAAGGTTACAATCGGTTTCTCGTGTTTGCAAACTAGGATTTCTTCATGGCGACTCCGCCAGCCGCCCTTTGTTGTGCTCGACGGGCAAAGTCGCCTCGAGGTCGACCAAACACCGTTTCTTCTCAGTTAGAATCGACTCGTTGTGAAACATGTATCGCTGCTTCGAACATCTTCGATATTAACGTTAATTCTCGATCCTTGTGTCGAAAATTCAGTTACTCGAATGTATATTCATAAAGGCAAGGTACGTAATTGTTAAATAACGCTCGCGAGTGTTGCGTACAGTGTTTGATAGCGTAAGTACAGTTTTCTGCTTTTGTTTATTTATCATTCCGAAAAATCGGATACACAAATAGAATATATATAAATATATCTTTATATAATTTAAAATTTATATTTTATGTATAATTTACAATTTTTGTTACAGAAGTTTAGAATTCATATTAGTTATTTTTGTATATAATAATTATTATGTGAAACAGTAATTTGTTTTACCTTAAATGCGAAATGCTAAAATTTAATGTAGTTTTTAATTTTGACACTTGGACGAATCATTTTTTTGGTGTTTGCTTCTGAATAGAATATTCTATTGTAAACAATTAGGCTTCATTCATATAAGTGATTGTTGTATTCAATATAAATATTCTGATCTTCTATGTTTTGTACTTGGAAGGCAGATTTAATAGAAGGATTAAAATGTGCAAAAATTAATTTCTAAATCTACTTTTACGGAATTTGTAAGTTATTGCTATGCGATTAAATAATTTATTAAAATAAAGGAATATTAAAGTGTTAAAATTTAACATGTTGATATACTGTTTACAGTAATATGAATTCTGTTTAAAAGAGGAAGGGAGATTTCCACCACTTGTCACCCCTGTTTCTTTAAGTTCAAATATAAAAAATTACAATCACATATTTCATTAAGTCAAAGAAGTCTGTTTTTATTTATTGAAGAATCTTCACTTTAGCTGGAAGAATTTTATTATTATTTATTTACTTTAAATTAGAGAATTTTATTATTTACTAATAAATGTTTACTTTAAGTTGAAATTGTGAAAAATTTTTGAAGAATTGAAGAATTTTTATATGAAATGAAATGTAGTGTATTTTATTATAAACATAATGTAACATACATATGTATCATAAATCTTGTACAATTCTTTCAAAAATAGCAAATGAATTCAACACCAGTAATTTTTCATTAAAAAACGATTTAAATTATTCAATAAATGTAGTTAATAAGATATTTAAAATATAGTGAAAGATTGAACGTAATTGTATTAATTTTATTAAATTGTAATAAATAACGTAAATGCAGAAGCTACAAGTTTATGCTGACATCAATTTAACAAAATTTAGTCGAAACATTTAATTTCTCAATGCGAAATGTTTTATCATGTAATAAAATTAGTGTCAGTTAACAAGTTTCTTCATATTTTTAGGTTAATCTTACAACCCAAAATGAGAGTGAAAACAGCGCCCAGGCAGAGAATAATTCAGAGTAACAAAGGTGGAGATCCAGTACTCGAATCGAGTGAATCTTTTTCGAACGATAAACGAAAAGTAGCGTTAGAGGATGTTGATGTATCGGTTAAGTCAAATAACTGTAAGAGTGACAGTTTGAATGAGAATCGGTTAGATAATCCTGTTGAGAATGAGGAAAAGGAGGACGAGACGTTGAACTATTGCCAGGAGGCGCTGGATATGTCGATGAAACGCAAGGTATGATTTTTTCTTGTATGGAAATTGTGAATGACACCATGGATCACATAAATAGTGACGGCTCATAAAAATGTAAATAGTGATGGGTCAGTCAAATTAAACCAATAATTTTACATTATTTCATTTATACCATTAGACCACTATCACAGAAGTTTTGGATCATTAACATTTTTAATTTTAATTTTAATTTTAATTTTATTCACGTTCTTGATTTTTATGTTTCTGGTAGTAATTGCATTTTTGTACTCAATACTTTCACTATGTTTCATAATTTACTTAAAGATAATAATTTATTTAACGTAACAATTTAGCAGTAAATGAGAATTATAATCTTTGTTTAAACAGAACTTTCTCATTTTAATTATTTCTATACTTGATATTTATTTATATTTAATGATTTATCTATATACTTAATATAATAATTTATCTTTAAATTATATTTGTATCTGTTATTTAAAAATAGCGTTATTTTAATTATTATTAAGCTTGATATAAAAGTTTATCTTTATGTAATAATTTCTATATACACTTAATATAATAATTTATATTATATAATATAATAAATAATATAGACTTTTTCTACTTTCTCTACTTCTACTTTAAATTTCAAAAGTCTCCTAGTTGTACAAAAATAATTTTAAGACATCAAGATCTCCATTTATTACGATATACTGTTGTAAATGAAATGTTTGTATAGTAATCAGTTGATCAGAAACAAACAAGTACGAAAACGAGTGAGAGCGAAAGAGATGGTGGACCTTCAAAATATCGATACTCGGTGATCGGTTTGGAATTGTTTACTATAACCTACCATGCTGCCATTCACAACATGACGTAGTAACTCACCTGTAATGTTTTGAATTTTTTAATAAGATCAGTTGTCATCGAATCAAAACAAGGAACATTTAAAATTTGTACCCATATGTTTTTCCTAAAAACAAGTAAATTCTATTTAAACATTTTTGCGCCATCATAGCAGTCGAGGCCCATATAATCAATCAATATTTAAACATTTAAAATACCTCTACATTTCTCTTAAAATGCAGTAAATTCTATTTTAACATATGAAAATTCAGAAAATAACGTGGATAACATATGTAGACGCAAATAACCTGTACAGTTTAAATATTTTAATAAAATTGATAGATTATTTTTTAGGTAATCTTGTCATACTTACCAATTTTATTATCTTTAAAACAACGTATTGTACATGTATATGATATTTTTACGTAGTACAGAAGTATTTTCAATATTATTTATTCAGTTACCATAATTTATTTTTATAGAGTGAATCACCAGAAAATGAATCTTCAACCTCGATAGCTGGTCCATCGAGTTGTGAGTACTCATCATCGCCCTTAGAAGAGGAGAACAGCTGCGACAATAATAACGTAAATTTTTTTAATAATTCATACACACACATAAATACAACATTGCTATAAATAACAATATCCAAGCAACAAAGTTATTAAATTACTAATTGTAAGTTCATGACTGCATCTCTTTACAGAATTGTAAATCAAACTTAAACAAATAATCTAATACAATTTTATTTTATTTCAAAAGTTTTTATATTAATGTTTCATTACAAGCTTTATTTAGAGATTTAAGTTTTTAGAAAAAATTCTAGGTCTCTTTAATCCTCATATAATTGCTAGACCATTTTGACTCATTTCAAAGAATACGAAATGTAATGCATAAAAAATCTTCACCAAAATCAACACACACATAAGTCAAAAATTCACCAAAAATCTAAACTTCAATAAATCAATTTTTTTCAGACGTTAATACCAAACGCGAACATAACCAACTCTTGTACATTGACCTGTTCCTGCACAAAGCAATCAAATTCCTGCGAAGACAAGCTGAATGGGTCGAGCGACGAAGATCAACCAACCGAAGCAGTGAATTTATGCAAAAAGGATTGTTTAGAGGATTCAACCACAGTCGAATCCGAGAAATTAAAGGACACGTTCCTCTACAAAATCATGACAGATCCGACCTTTCTGGAAAACATACAGAAACACAAGCAGACGAAAAGGTACGTGTGTCAATTTTGCAAACAAGAGTTCGTGAACGGAGACGAGTTAGCTGACCACATGGACGTGAAGAAGGACGAATCGAATCAAGTGGTTTGTTGCGCCTGCAAGAAAACTTTCGCGCAAAAACGGTACCTGAGGTATCATCAGAGGTGTCACTCGGAGAGGAGCAAGTTCACCTGTGATATTTGTACGAAGAAGTATACTAGATTAGATAATTTGACCAGACACAACGCTTTTCATGTGAATCCGGACAAGTTCTCTTGTACCTATTGCGAGAAGACTTTTGCGAGGAAGGATTTATTGAATAAGCATTTAAAGTATCACGATAATAAGTACCGCTTCTCGTGCGAGCTTTGTCACAAGTATTTTAAGGGACCTGTTATGTTGGAGAAGCATAAGAAAATATTTCACATGGCAGCGTAGATTTTGAGATATTGTAATGAGGTGCAATTGTAATTCTTCGACGGAGGAAAATAAAGTGGAATGTGATTCTTTTATTTTTTGTGTTATTCATTCCTAAAATTATACTACTGAAATTTTGTGCTATTATTGCAAGTATTGATGAAGTTGTTGAATTTAAGAATAATATAAATTTTTCTAATTTGAAACTTTTTGACTTTTTTAAAAATTTTATTTAGTTTCTTCGTAGCATTAATTAGCATTTTTCGTTTTTTTTATGTATTTCGTTTTTTGTTTTAATATTTAAGAAATTCAGAATTTTTAATTTCATTGAAACACTCTTAAATATCTGAATTTAGACACAAGTAAACTTAGGCTACTTTTAAAATATTAAGAATAAAATATTCCCAAAATTTCTCAAACAACCCTATTTATAACTTATGATCGTTCAAAAGAATGTTCTTAAAACAAGTCCACCAAAGGGTTAATTTTCGCTAAACAATATTAATAGGTTCCATTAAATGCAGCCCGTTACTCAAAGAAAATGCATAATCAATTTTGGCATCCTTTGAAACTCCACTTTTTAGCATAAAAACCTATAACAGGCCACACTCTTCCCGCGTTATTCCGTTCATCGAAAACATCAAACGAGGCCATATTTCATTGATCCGTTGTTTGCACAAAGGCCTCGAACGCATTCGGTCGAAAATCCGTGGAAACAGTACAAGAAAACTCTTTTACCCCGAATACCTCGCGTGGTCTCGAGAACTCCCTCTTTTTCCTTTTTACCCCCGCCATTTCTCTTTTTCTCCAGCAGCTGGAATCTAAAACATAATCCGTTTCTTCCCGTTGCAGCCCTCTCACCCCCGGCAGCCACTTCGCGAAAAAACCGAGCACTCTGTTTGTTTCGGCTCAAAGGGTACAGCACCAGCGCAATAAGGAGCACTTTGAAAATCCGACGTATTACCGTGGCACATCCAATCGCGAAATAGAACAACCATGAAGGTTGACCCGCGTCCCTTTCCCTTCCATTCACGCTTTCACCCTCGCGCCAACCACCCCTTCGCCGTTTCCTTATTTTTTTCTTGACAGACATCCCCTTTCTCGGGCCATCCAACCCCTCGTTCTCTCTGTCTCTCGCTGCTCTCTCCTCTTCGTTCTTTGGGACGGTGCCGGTTTAATGCAATTAAGTCGAGCGTTAAAATATCGTTCTTAATTCGCTAGCGGCACCTTTTATTTCTTCTGTGGTTTAGCGTGAGCGGCTTACGTTTCGTTCCATGTTTTTGCCTTTCTTTGTGTCTCCCTTTCTTTTAATGGCTACTCCACGTCTTTTTTTCTTCATGCAATATCATTCTTTCGACCTTCTTGTATTTTAACTTGGGGTGTCGGAGTCGGGGCAAATGACGAGTTGTGCACTTTCGTCTTTATTGTGGGAGGGTTTTTTTTTTTGGTAGAGGCAGTTTGTCACTGGGCAATATATTATAATATAATAGTAGTTGCTAATGTTACATTATATGTAATAGCTGATAATATTATATTATATGTAGTGATTAATAGTATTATACAGGGGGTCTCACAATTCGTGTTACTCGTGGAAAGAGGTAACTGAGGTGATTCTGAAAAACTTTTCTCTGTGCGAAAATGGGATTTGAGGCTTCGTTTTTAAATTATTAGAGGACACCAGCCAATCAGCACAGAATAAGGTAATATATTATACTATAATATAATAGTAGTATTACAGGGTTTGTCCAATAAGTATCCGGACTGATTTTTTTCTGCTAGTTTGGTAGGTCAGGGAGCAATCTCTATTAGCTAGATCGATGCGGAAAGTTGTTATGTATAATAAAAATCTAGGTTCATTTGTTTTCCACCATTTGTTTCGTTTATATCGTGCTTGAAGTGGAAGCGTATTTAACGTTCGCGTCGAGAATCAAAATGCAACGAAACATCGAGCAGCGTTGTGCGATTAAATTTTGCGTTAAGCTAAATAAATCTGCTACGGAGACATTTAATATGATTCGTCAGGCCTACAAGGATGATTCCATGTCCAGAACGAGTGTTTTTGAGTGGCACAAAAATTTCAAAGATGGCCGTGAAGACGTTGAAGACGAGCAACGCGTTGGACGACCGTCGTCGTCCCGATCCGATACGAATGTCGACAAAGTGCGGGAAATTTTGAATTCCGATCGCCGTTTAAGCATTCGTTTAATTGCACAGGAATTAAATTTAACGAAATCCACTATTCATTCTATCGTAACCGAGGATTTGCAAATGCGAAAAGTGTGCGCTAAATTGGTTCCGAAGGTTTTAACAGAGGAACAGAAAGAACGCCGTGTGACGATTTCTCGTGAACTTTTAGAATGTTTGGAGAGGGATTCAAATCTTTTAGACAGAGTGATTACCGGTGACGAAACATGGATTTTTGAATACGATCCGGAGTCAAAAATGCAAAGTGCTGAGTGGCACACAAGCGGCTCTCCTCGACCGAAAAAGGCTCGCATGAGCAAGTCAAAGATAAAATCGATACTTATTGTTTTCTTTGACGCAAAAGGTGTTATCCACAAGGAGTTTGTGCCTGCCGGACAAACAGTGAATGGCCAATTTTACGCAGAAGTGCTCGAACGTTTGAGACTTAAAGTACGCCGCGTACGAAGGGAGATCGCGAATTCCTGGATGCTCCATCACGACAACGCGCCAAGTCACACGTCGTTAATTGTGAGACAGATACTGACGAAGCATAACATCACAACACTACCCCAACCACCCTACAGTCCAGATATGGCACCCTCTGATTTTTTTCTGTTCCCTCGCATTAAAAGAAGCCTTAAAGGACATCGTTTCGGGACGATTGAGGCGGTTCAAGCGGCTTCGACGGAGTGCCTGAACAGTCTTACGCTTGCCGACTTCCAGGAAGCGTATAGACAATGGAAAACCCGCTGGCAACGGTGTATTGATGCAGGAGGGGCATACTTTGAAGATTATTAACTCAATGTACGTATATCTTCAACGCACTTCATTTTAGGACATCAATGCGGATACTTATTGGACAAACCCTGTATACTGCAGCAATATATTATACTATACTATAAAAGTAGTGTATAGCAGCATAGTTAATTAGTATAACAATCGTATAATATCATAATATAGTATATTACATTAAACTAGTATTATAGTATAATATACCATAATTTTATACTATAACTATATACTGCTACATAATATGGTAGTAATATAATAGCACATTTAAACTAGTATTACTATATACTAATAATTGAAATTCAATTACTAACAATTTAAATTCGTTAATTTCGTGAGCTTCAATTTTGAGTGGGCCTTTCTATATCCTATGCTAAATTTTTAGAAGGTGAGAGTGAAGAAGAAAATTTGTTTGACCAACCTAAATATATGAAATACTTATAAATAATAATTGTTGATAAATAATTTAGAATTTTATAAGGTATAATAACTGTCAAAAGTATGATAATGAACGGAAACGAGGAAAGCTGGTATAGAGTTCGACGTGCAGCAAAGAGACCACAAAACCTCTGCTGGCATTTATGCCAGGATGTTCTGGAAAACTTTGTTACATTTTTGGTCAAGTCCTCGTTGACTGTTAAACGAACAAGCTGGATCAAAGGGACTAGTAGGAACGTAACAAGAAAACAAAGAAAAATATGGAATGAGAAGGGTAAATATACTGTGGGTAAAAATATTTTGAATTGTGGAAATAGGATGACACAGAATAAATATTAGTATTATGTATTGATTGTGTGTGGGAATCATGCAGGTTCAATTATTAATGGACTATTACTGATAATTTTAATTATTAATGAGTAATATTTTGGTAATTAGGAAGTTTCATTTATTTCAACATATTTTCAAATATAATACAAGAGAAGTTCTAAATATTTAATTGATCACTAAAAACTCAGCAATTTATTGATTATTGTTAGGTTAAGTTAGAATATGTATAGGTTAGGTTAGGTTAGGTATTTCATAATAATTGACTGTTTGATTCAACATCTTTTCAAATATAATAAAACAAAAGTTTAATGTAAATATTTAACTAATCTCAAAAAACTTGTTAACTTATTGATTATCATCAATTTCCCTCGGATCGTGAATTTAGGTTAGGTTAGGTTACATTAAATTATGCATAGGTTATGTTAGGTTAAGTAATTCATAATAATTGATTATTTCATTCAACATATTTTCAAATATAATGCAACAGAAGTTTAGTCCAAATATTTAACTGATCACGAAAAACTCGCTAACTTATTGATTATCACCAATTTCCCTCGGATCGTTAAAGTTGTTCTCCGTGTTTACCGTTGTACCAAACGCCACGGTAACTTTTCATTAATGCCAGAATAAATAAATGCCAGCACGTCCCCCCCTCTCTGATCCTTAAATTCTTAATGCAGCAAAGCCCCGGTAGAAAGTACTTACTCCCGTAGCCTTCAAAATATCTCCAAGAAGTTTAAAGTCTTCCCTCGATAGTATGTAAATATTATATGTAAAGCTCGACATCAAAGAGATTCTTCTGTCGTATAATGCTTCAAATTTCGCTGTTAGGAAAGATTAAGGAACAACGGGAGACGAAGATATTAAAAGCAACGTGTTGTGTGACGATGTCCACCATCAGACATCTGCAAATTAAGTATGATCGAGATATTTGCTTACGAACGTCAATTTTGTACTTATCAAATAATATTGGTTAATCACGGTCATTTATAATGATACCAGAAAATATTTTGTGCTGAACATTTTTGAAAATTTTCTTCATGAAAAATTTTCTTCATACTGCACTGGAAAAATGGCTTACACTGACTGTTCAGTTTAATTTAGTAATTTGAAATAAATATTTTCTGACTAAATAGTTTTATACATATGGTGTATAAATACATTCGTAGTAGTGAAAATAGTGACAATAATGGCAATTAATTAGAAATAGCAATCTTAAATGAATTCAGCAAATTTTTTAAGTGAGAAGCTTTAAGGTTGATGTTTAAAAATATCTTCATGTCCTAAGGGATAAGTTTAATCATTAAACTAATAATATCACTGTACTCTTTTA